CAACAGAATCGTTTCATAACACACGTGAGAAATGTTGCTCTCGCCAGAACTGAGGAATTTGTTCAGTATTTTCAAGAGACACGTCTTAAACCACTGTGCAGCTTTTTGACACGTAATAGCCATTAAATAATTAAAGAATAAGAATGTTCAAAAGCTTCCGTACATCAAGACTGTCAATGTATTTCCACTTCCATCACACTTAGTCAACTGAACATCTTGTGTAGTCAACAGTTAGCAGTTGGTCTCAAGACAGCATTTCCAAGGATAGTGGTATAAATCACACAATCCTATTCAGATATTACCTATACGATGTAGTTTAGGAACCAGCTTCCACTCAATCTTTCAAAGAAATGGATAGGATCCTCCTGAAGGGCACAGACATGAGAGTGCAAAACTCCTGAATTGATTGCTGGCCACTGTAAGCCAGTTTTAGTTTAAAAAGAACAATCATACAAAAAAAAAGACAAGACCACCCCACAACACCCTGCCTGCACCAAACAATAGTATGCTTCAGTAGCAACTCGTGTGCCTAAATGTGGACTTCACTTGTAGAAGCCCTAGGGTATTGGACATCTGAGCAGGACTGGCAGATCCCACACTGGAATTAACAGAGATCTTCTGCCCTTGAAATACCACTTAGAGCCCAGTCATTATCCCCTAGACTACCTGGAGGGGTACTAGATGTTTCTGTTTATCTATTTGGTTTACTCCCTTATTTAAGTTTCACAATTGTGCTGAAGCTAGCAAAGTTTCTCTAGTTGCTGATCTGCCTAGCAACCCTTTACTGCTTATCTGGTATTGAAATGCAGGCCATGAGCAAATCTTTAAGGTGTAGCAAATGTTTGAGTTTTACAAAGTGTGTTTAGTGTTTTATGTGATACAGGAGTTACACCAGTTTTGCCCATTACGCAATTTTCTGCCTTTTTTTTTTGATAACGGTAGATCCACAGTTGCAGAGCCTGTCTGTAAAGCTCTTGGAACAGTTGTCAGTAGTGGCGTTTTCCATGTCACAGCTCAATAGTTTTCCCATTTCTTGTTTTCTAACCTGCAAACTGTGGCCTGCGGACCATTGGGGTTCTCTGAACTATTTTGTTGAAGTCTACATGAACTGACTAAGAAAGTGGGTGTTCTGTACAGGATCAAATCTGGGCAAACTGTACCTGTCCATTGGGGAGAACTGGGAAGGGGGAGTCAAGTCAGATGGGTGGAAAACTGCTGCTTAGGACTGAAGCTGTCCTAAATATAGTAGGGTTTGAAAATACTCTCTTTTTACCCCACCTCAAAGTGGTTCTCTACTTCACTTTCTCCTTCAGAGAAATCCATTCTTACCCTACGCGTGCTGTGACGATCCTTTCTGCATAACAGGTATGACAGTCAGTCTGAGATACATATCTACTTCAGTGCACTCTATGAAGCCTGTGGTCACAAATGACAGATCTGAAAATAACAGTAGCTTTTCAGAGGAGACACTAGGGATGATAGGGTGGAAGCTGTTGCATAAGTTCTGCTTCGCATCGGCTGGTAATGTGTGTCTCTTACAGTAACATTAAGTGACTTCTGTATTTGCTTTCTGTTTTTTCAGATATTGAAGACTTACCGCCCACAGTCCAAGAAAAGTTATTTGACGAAGTACTTGATAGAGATGTTCAGAAAGGTAAACGAATCACAGAATCATAGAATAGCTTGGGTTGGAAGGGACCTTTAAAGGCCATCCAGTCCAACCCCCTGCCATGAGCAGACATCCTCATGAGCAGGGACATCCTCAAACAGATCAGGTTGCTCAGAGCCCCATCCAGCCTGGCCTTGAAGGTTTCCAGGGATGGGGCATCTCCCACCTCTCTGGGCAACCCCTTCCAGAGTTTCATCACCCTCAGTGTAAAAAATTTCTTCCTTATATCTAGTCTGGATCTACCCTCTTTTAGTTTAAAACCATCCCCCCTTGTCCTATTGCAGCAGGGCCTACTAAAAAGTCCGTCCCTCAGTGCTCGAGAATGGCTAGAGTCTCTCTTGGCTTTTTATTAGAGAATATTTCTGTTAATAAAAAAAAGTGCATGTGTGCATATACGTGGCTTTGTTATCTGAATTTGTTTTAAATATAGATTCAATGCTTTAAAGTTAATCTTCACCCTGGAATTATTTTAATTTTAACATTTACAGTCTATTTACGAGGCAGAGAGAGAATGGAGTCTGTACAAATTATGCTTGTAACGTATCTTTGAATTTTAAAGATTTTTTTAAAGCTTTACAGTTTTAAGTCACAGGCTCTTTATAGAAAACTGAACAAATCTTTCCACTTCAGTAACAATCCTCAAACAAATGATGTGATGCTTTGTTTAAGGCTGTGGTTTGTTTTGTTTTTTTTCTTCTTTTCTCGACAGTATTTTCCCCAAGGAATGCCTTTAGCCGTTGTAGTTCACCTGTTTTTGTAGTATGAAGGAGAACTTAGTTTTATTCATGTAAATGGGTGAATTGTTGAGATTATGCCATTACTGTGCTGTTCAGATTGTCTGAGATTTCAAATGAATATAGCTTTTGAAAGATGTTATTGTCACGTTGCAGAGCTAGAGGAGGAATCTCCCATTATTAACTGGTCACTGGAACTGGGTACGCGCTTGGACAGCAGATTATATGCACTTTGGAATCGGACTGCAGGGGACTGCCTGCTTGATTCAGTACTACAGGCCACTTGGGGCATTTACGACAAGGATTCAGTGCTGCGGAAAGCTCTTCACGACAGTTTACATGACTGCTCGCATTGGTAAGTTAGTTTCTGTGTTGACTTTAGAGATAACTTTCCATGTAGCATAGTAGTTGATAGTATAGTATTAAAAAGAAGCGCAACCACTGCTCCTCAATTTACTGTGGATTGTGTGCCTCAAAGATGTTGAGTCACAGCATGATTCATGTAGTAATCTAGATCTAGCGTATTTTAAATGCGAGCACTGGAAACGTGGACATTCTGAACTCGGTGACAGTATGTGATATTCAGCAAATAGCATTTAAAAGAGAGTAAAATACTTTCAGAGAATATTTTATGTTCTTGTAGCTCTGTGCCTGTCAAGAGTGTGCTAACCACAGTTAAGACTGGAATTTACTTGCAACGTAAATCACGCACTTGCCGTGCCTCGCTGCTGTTGGTGGAAGCTTTGCAGAAGATCGTTGATAGAAGATAGCCTTTTATTCCTGTATAAACTTCTCAGTATTTTCATTCCATCTGCTTAGTTACAACTTTTTTCGGTATTGCTCTTCTTGTTCCTGTTCTGTCTGCTAAAATAATGGCAGTAAAGCAGAGTGTTGACATTTAACTAGTGCTGTCATTTGGCCATAGAATTAATGTATCATTCTGTAAGACAACTTTCGTTGTTTTACACTGGCAACCTTCTTTAGTCCGATACTGTGGTTTGCCTCTGCTAGAGGACGAATTCTTACAGTTGGACCCCCAGCAGCGTCCACCTGCTCTCAAGTGTGTAATAGGACTAAGGGAAGAGATTGATAAAGACTAATAGCGTAAGACACAGGCGATTGGATTTCTTATGTTCTTGTAGTCGAGGACAAGAGAAACACTATCAGCAGGCATACTGGAGAAGGAGCCTGTCCCCTTGCTCTATGTGCTGTACGGGAGGTCAACAACAAAGGTTCGTTTTAGGGGTACCTATAAGTAGCTTTTGTGATTACTGTCCCCAGATGCCTGCTGTTTGGAGAAAACTCCCAAAATTAGCATCCAGAGCTGGATTCAATAAAGTGGTGCTTCTGTGACAGTTCTCCTGAGAACCTGTCTCCGAATGGATCTGTCACTACTTTAGAGTTGTTTATAACGGAGTGTGCATCTCCGCCACGCGGGAACGTCTCTGGCATCACAAGCAGTTCCCCTGAGGCCAGAACAGAAACTTATGATAGATCAGGTTTTGTTCTTTATGGTAACAAAACCAAGCGTGGTATCCAAAAACATGCTGTGAACTACTGAGGTTTAAACCAATCTTTCAAAATGTTAGTGTTAACCGTTGTTGTCTTACTGTTGTATCTAACATAACACTCATTATTTAGAGTTTATTAAATCTGGTTAAGCTTTTTAGTTCATATTCTAGACAGAATTTGCATTTTACTCTGAATTTACTTAATCTTCATCCTTACTGGAATTTTTTTAATGGATTCATGTGTTCCTTTATAGCTGTTTGAATCAGTTGCCTGCCTTTAGTCTGGATAATCTATTTGCTAGTTTGTCATCGGAAAAATTCGAAAAAAATCCTTAAGTTCTGTTGTGAATTGATCATCCTGTACATCCTATATCCTATATCTATACTTGCTGTATAGATTCTGTGTTGGCCAAGATACATTTACTTTTAATTTTGTGGGATAGGACATGTAGCAGATAGGAAGTGACATTGTCGTCACTGGCTTTAATGGCAGTTGCTGAAGGAATAGGCTCTTAAATGCAATCACTAGTCTCAACGACAGTATGCTTAAACTTTTATCTAGTGGAATTGTTCTTCAAAGCCTTTGCAAAGATACTTAAAAACGGGTATTTTTATAGTCAGACACAGAACACTCATGTAACTCATTTGGCCTCATTTTGTTATGTTTGTTCAGATGCTGAACAAAGAAGAATCTATTTACTAGAGACAGTCTAGTGTCTGGTACTTAGAAAAAGCTCAATAGTGAAGTTCCCAGAGGCTCTGGCCTGTGGAGTCTTTTCCACTTGCTTTTGAAATGACTACGCTTTTTTAGTTTACTGATTTGTCTATTTTTGTATTCCGCTGTTAGCTTTTGATGGAGAACGGGCATATGCCCTAAATTGGCTTTCAGAATTTTTTTTTTTTACAAATGCATTCAGTTCTCTTGTGTTAAACTGAAAAGTTTGCTTTAAATGAGATCAGAATCTCGAGCCTTGACTTCTGTCTACAAGGCTACCTCCTGTGAACATCTACAGATAACTCTGTGGCTGACTAACTCAAGAAGAAACTTCTTTAGGAAAACACTATCACAGTAGACCTTTTCTGGGGTAGGTTTTTTTTCTTTTGGTTGCTAGGTTTTTTTGTTTTGTTTTGTGGGGGTGTTTTGGTGGTGGGGGTTTTTTTGTTTGGTCCCCCCCCCAAGTCTGATTAACCTTCTTTCAGGAGACCTAGCAATTAATTAAATTAGCTCAAGTGTTTGGTTAGACATTTCTGGGGGAAACCAGACAAAATACCTATCAGCTGCAAAGATGGAAGCAGTTGATGTATTTGGATAGAAACTGGAATGTAGATAGATCCAGAAGATTCCCTCTAAGCGACGCAGAAGTTTTAGCTGTACCTGGGAAAGCCAGCCCGGTTGGTGACAGCCATTACAGACACCAAGATTTTTAGGATGATTACATCTTTACTGAAAGCATAGGAAAGGTTTCTTCCACGCGCACTCACTGTCTGTTAATTTTCTCAGATTTTAATTAAATGAGTTCATTTCAATGACTTTTTTAATAAGCTGAACTTCAGAATGGTTTCTTTGTATTCACAGTAAAGGCCTTTGTTTAAAAGTTGGCTTAGCACTGTTCACTAAACCCGTGTTCCTAATATGAAGTTGTGGCCTTTCTATAGTGCGGCGATCGGACTGAGTTTAAAATTTTAAAAAGTCAACATCTGCTTTTTAATGTGTAGGTCATATTTCTTTGTAATTGATTAACAAAGATTGGACTAAACTAGTGTACAAAAATGCTAGTTTCAATTTAAACAGAAAAATACCAATCCTGTGACTTTTAGACTTTCAGTGTAAATTAGATTAATCCCACTATGTTAGATTCTTATCTACGCTGCTTTATAACTATTCCATATAACGTGAAATTACCGTAGTCTTTGCTCCAAAAAGTGATATAAACCAGATTCTGCCTCTTAACCACGGTCTATTTGAAGTTGATACGCAAGTACTTTGGAGTTAATTATCTCATGATATGGTCAGCAATAGAGCATGCCTGTATTGTTTGTATGAGAAGAATGAGCAGCTCCTCTTACTTGAAATGGAACGTCTTGGTTTTGTTCCCTGTACATCATCACTTAAAAAGAAATAAGCCTAAATAAGGCTTCAAAAAATATATTACAGCAAGTATCAAACTAGCCAGCAGCCTGTTAGGAACTTGCACCTATTACAGCATGTTTGCTGTAGGCATTGTGATCCCAAGTGATTTCTTAAATGAGATTAGCAAATGGAGTCTCCTGAAGATTAAAAAAAAAAAAAAGGCAGTTTTATTGATGTATACTCTCTTTCTTCCCCCTTCTATACAGAGTTAGGATAAAGAATTATGAGTGTTGAATATTGCTATCAGGTGGTTGAGTAAATATTTTTGTCTTTACCACTCTTTCTCTAACATTTTAGGTTCTATACACGCTGGAAAGAGT